TTTGATTGATTCCTTATTGACCTTGGTTTGGTTCTGGTGCTGTCCAATATTGTTTAGAAGCAAAAAGAACCTTTTCCCTCTCGTGTGGTCCATTTTCATGATCTGCAATTCTTGCATCCCATTGCATTACATCTATTATGCTCTTGATCTTCACCAATACATCCACGTCGTCTCTGATAATAACACTACCTTCCGGCCGTAGAATCCTATCCATTTCCAGAAGAATATCTTCCATCTCACATCTGCAACACAAATTGTACAAACCATTAGTTCTCAAACCCAAAAAGAATTCAATTTTCTTCATTTATAGCACCTTGTTTTATGTTACCTGTCCTTGTAGAGGCTGAAAACCGAATCAGCATGAATGAAATCATAAGTCCTTGGATAAGTTGACATTGCCTCGCACCTATTATATAAGCAGACAGAACATTGAATATCAAGCACTAATAATTTGTACTGAAATGTCGAAGAATATTCATTCATAAAATGGGGTTTGGTCATATATAGCCTACCAATTCTGATAAGTTCCAATCAATCCGCGTTCATAGATGACACCAAGGGTGTTGATCCCAGCCTCAGTAACAGGGACAACATTCATGACCCACACTGGATCACCAACAAGAGCAGCTGCAAAGCCTCCCAAATAAGAGTTCATATCCAGCAAGTTCCGGTACCCTCCGGTCTCTGCTAGCTGATAATCCACTTTCTTGTAATATGCTACTCTCTTCATCCACATCTTTGTGTTCTCTATAAACTTGTCTGCTGTTATTCCTGCCAGATTTCCACTGCTGATCCTTGGAGGGATCGTGTTCAATCTCTCTGGCCATCTTGCTAGTTCCCCACCTGCAACTTGATTTGTATCAGATACTTCAGGTAGTGGGGTTAAACAAGTCTCCAATTTTGTGTACCTGCATCAATAGATTGCAATTGTTAATAACTTAGTATATAAAAAGAATATGTCTTGGAAAGTCGTCTTTTATGATATATTTCATCTTTAGAATTATGAATTATTAGCTAGTTGGCCCTATCTACAAGTCACTATCCTTTGAAGTTTGTCTGCACACGATTCTGACAATGACACAAAAATAATTGCAAAAAATTAAGAAAGTGATGTTACCATGCCATGTCCGGATCCTGAGTGGGGCAAAACCTTGGCTTATTCAACTCATTTTTGGAGGCTTTACAATGGACATGATTGGTTGGTTTTCTCCAGATAGCAAGGTCACCTTTCTGCTTAATTTTTTCCCAACATAAGCTCCTAGCTACATCCTCAATCTTAGTCTGTTCTGCTTTCAGGTCATCTTTTGTCCTTTCCCAACCTTTCCAGTGGCTCTCCCAGTTTATTGGTGGCCCTGACAGAATCCAGTAACCTCCAGGACGAAGAATCCTATCGATTTCAATTAAGTACAGTCCATCTGATTTGGTCATACACAAAACAAAATCAAAATAAGTAATTAAGCAATTCAACCATGCAAATATCCTGAACAAAGTAGTATATATATACTATAGTAAAAAGTCAGAACAAATACCATATTGGCCCCATGGAATGAGGCACCGGGAACAATGAGCCATGTCAAAGGCCCTGGAAGGGTATGGAAGCCTGATTGAAGCAAGAACACCAATCAATGCAGGCACTCCTCGTTCCAGGGCAAATTGCACCTGAGCTTCATGAGTATCTCTAGGAGCAAATGACACCGTTAGGATGTTCCTGGGCAGAAGATAAGCTCCCCAACTTGCAACCTGCACATAAATTCTATTCATTGAACCATAGGGACACAGTTCTTGATTATGATGACTTTTACCGTTAAGAACTACTGAATGATAGTTCCCCCAGTTAGAAAGATAGCTAGCAAACACCCCCACAAATTATTGTTGTTGGTGAACCACTTGGCTTCATCCTCAAGGTATGAACCCAAAAGTCCACCAAAACCCATTTCTTTTATCTCTTTTATCATTCATTGGTCACCTAAACAAGAAAAATCACCCTACATTACATCATGTATGTGTATTCATTGGTGAGTAGTTTGATGACTGGTTTTAACTTAGAGAATAATCTGCCCAACCTAATTAATATCTATTAGATGAAAAAATTTACATATATAATGCGATCTCGCCTTCTCTGAATGATATCTTCCCCAGAATGGAAAATAAGAAAGAAAATATAATCAATATTGGCACTTAATAATTTTTAAGAGAATGTATTGAGATTTGAGAATGTGTCAACGAAATGAAAGCCTTAAAAAAATTACCCCGCAGCCGGTGTCGATGGCGGTGCGTATGGATCCGTCTTTGAGATTGATTAGTTTTCCGATATCATCGATATATGCGTCGGCGCCCCGTGGAAACATGGTGCCGCCGCCAGGGAACTGAAGCTGTTGGCCCACCACCTTCACCCAATTCTGATTCTTCTTCTCCACGGTTAAGTGTTCGTGCGGCACGTTAGCAAACCATGCAAATTCCCGACTCTTAGGCCACCGGAATGGAATCTTGTATCCAAACGGCGCTGGCACGCGACACTTCAAAATCTCATTCTTCTCTGGACAGTGCCTCTCTCTGTATATAAGCATGTCCCTGTCGAATCTCAGTGATCGCTGGACGTCCTCACATGGGGTATACTCGGAGAACGAAACGTTGCAGGGAGGTAGGTGGGTTTCGGCCGCGGAAACCAGCGTTGGGTCTATAGGAAAATGGTGGGCAGAGAAATCTAATTGCTTGTTGTCAGGGATGGGGGTGATCGGTTTAGAGAAGGCGCAGAGGACAGAGTTAGCGGAGGAGGAGGCGGTGGAGATGGGAAGTGGACCGGGAGAGTTTTGCCATATTCCAAGGAAATAAAAGGATGTACATAGAGTGATAACCAATGCCATGTAGCAAAAATTAGCCATCTTGGTCTTGAATGCGATCTGAGAAGGTCGGAAACCCAAGGCCATGGTCGTCGACGGCTGAAGGAGGAAGAGAGATTAGAGAGAGAGGGAGAGGGGCGAGAGTAGGGGAGAATGTAATAAATATATATAAGCGTGGTCGTGAAGAAGAGAGGAGAATGTGAAGTGATCTTGGAGAGTAAGTGCACGCGCGGGGCTTGCAACTGGGTTATTGACAGCGAAGAGACGAGGAAAAAGCGTGTGTCTGAATTAATTGTACGTGTCCGCTTACGAAACAACTGATTCGCTTCCCATGTTTGATTTTCTTCCTTATTTTGGCGTAGGGACACTGTGATGCAGGTGCATATGGCAGTAAAATTTTTAATATTTTAAAAATATATGATAAAATATAGTTAATTTTTTTTATTTGTAATTTAAATATTTTTTTTATAATGAATAGTTTTTCAAATTTTATTATCAATTAATACTTTTTAAAATTTAAAGTCTATAAAAAATTTAAAATTAGTGATTAAATCATTTGTAAATTTTAAGATGTAAATAGAAAGTTTGGTTATTAATTTTTATGTTTTTGATAAATTTAAAATTTTAAAGGTAGTTGATTAAGAGTGAAAATTTTAAAATGTATTAATAGTAAAAAATAAAATACTCAGATGCAAATAAAAGATTTGGTTTAAATTATTTAAAAATTGAAATTTGTTTCAGTCTAGTTTCTATAAAATTAAAAGGACAACCACTTGAAAAGTACATTATTTTAGTTTTTAAAATAAAAATTTAGTGAAATAATGTAATTTTTTTTCTTTTTAAAATTTTAGAAGCCTAATTGGCAAACACTTTTTAAAAATATTTGATATATTTAATATTTATTTTAATTAACATTTTATATATATTTAGAAATTATAATAGTAAAAGATAGAAAACTAAAAAACTAAAGTACAAAAAAAATTTCCCAAACAAAGTCCTAATAAAATGATTTTTAAAAATTTTTTCTAATAGAGTTGTTTTTAATGCATGCATTCAAGTACTTTTTTTATCATAAAAATATATAAAAAATACTAATATTAATATTAATTTTAGTATTAATATTAATTAAATGAATTTAATTGAATATTTGATAAATTAAAATTTAATTTTTATTTTTTTAATATAAATTTATGATACCCTTAAAATATAAGTTAAAAAGCCCCTTTCAAATGTATGTATTAAGGTACTCATTCCATTCCAAAATACTATATATTTTTGTTATTTAAAATTTATTTTAGAATAATAGTTATTTTTTATATTTTCATAAAGTTAAATATTTTTTCTTATTTTAATATTATTATTTCTTAATTTTAATTATTTATTTTTCTCATTAAAAGTCTCTTTATTATTATTTCTTTTTTAATGATAAAAAATAAAAAGAATTTTCTAAACTTGTATCTTATAACACAAGTTAAAAGTGTAATTAATACACTTTTTAACAATTAATTTTATAAAAAAATGTAAAAACTTATATTAATTTTTGTATCAATATTATTTATATAATTTTAATTAGACAGTTAATAAATTAAGTCAATTTTTATTTTTTTAATATAAGTTAATTATTTTTTTTAACAATTATCATAAAGTCGAATTGAACAGTTGCCTGAGATGAGAAGGGAAATGTGAACTTTGACAAGAGTGACGGATGCCACTTGACCTTATGAATCAGGTTCATATAAATTAATTGTTAAAAAGTGTAAAAATCTAAATAAAATATTTTTTCAAATACTTAATATAAAAATAAAATAAAATAATATTTATTATTTTAAAATTAAGAGACTAAAAATTAAAGGTATAATTAATATAATTTTTAGTATTAATTTATATTAAAAATAATAAAAATTAATATTAATTTTATCACTAATATACTATATGAATTATCACTCATATTGTATGTATTATTTTAACTAATCAAAATTAATTAAATAAAAGTTACCCTTTTTTTTACAATTAATAATAAAAAGTTACCTTAACCCTTCTTTTAAAAAAAAGTTTTTTTTAAAACTATTTTAATCTTCAAAGTTCAAACAAAAGAAAAGTCAGCTGATTTTATCTGTAGTGCAACGCGAGGAAGAGCGCGTGCACATGACACTTAGAACTTGGAAGGTCAAATTCTGTCGTACTGACATTGATGCAGACCTCTTTTTTTGGGGAAAACCGGAAAAGTGCCTTTTCGGCGGTGAACTACAAATTCTCGGAGCCGTTTGATGATATTTGACGGCTGGATGGATCTAATCAAAAGCCTAAGACAAGTCAACGGTAATAAAATAATCTACTTACATATGCTTGATGTTGTTGGTTTTTTCTTTTCTTTTCTTGTTTTGGACTGGGGTGCCTTCCGTTTAGATGGAATTTTTTTTAATAAGGTAATTATATATTATAATTACATATAATATAAAGAGGTGGGAATGTAATGTTAATAATTAAAACCTAAATCAAATTTTTTTATATTAATTGCACAATGAGAAGTAACTCGAAAATGACTTTTGTATAATTTTTTTTGTTCAATCTTTTTATACAACCTGACATGTAATTTAAATAATCGGTTCTTTTAATTTATGTAGACCTGTAATATCGAATATATTTACTTATTTAATAATATGTGAAAGTTGTATAAAAATATGGTATAAAAATATTATCTCTATAACACCACCTGAAGCAACTTTTTTTTATTTCTTATCTCACCTCACGCGTATGCTATACAATTTGAACTTATAACCTCTTACTTTTAGCGAAAATAGATTATCATTGAACTACTTAGTTTGTTGGCAAACCTAAATCAAAATTAAGTTACTACATTACTAAACTTTTATGAATATAGCTGGCTTCCCATTAAGATAGAATAAGTCATTAGAATTTGGAGTTACACAATACACATTACACAAGCTAATTTCCTGTCTTCTTCTTTTTTTTTAATAAAAAAAATAGCTTAGTGGTTAATCAAGGAAACAAGAGAAGGGGATAACACATACAATGAGCTGTAGACTCTGGGGTTTGAACCCAAGATTACCCACTTTAATGCCGGTCTTATCACACCATATCACTTGCCAAATTGACCTCTTGGGGAGGAGATATGGCAATGACCAATTTAGCCAAATACTTTATTTTAAACGTCGGTTGATAAAACTTTAAAATACATTTTAATTGAGGTTATGTTTGTGTTCTTAACGCATACAACAAAGGGAAGTAAATTGGTGTCAAAATATGGTACTCCCTTTAACTTCAATTAAAGAATAACTTAAATTTTAAATATAAAATTAACATATTATATAAATAATAATTAAATTTTTTATTAAAATAAAAACATTCAATAAAAATGTTTGTGTTCTTAACGCATACAACAAAGGGAAGT